TGTAATCAACAGTAAGTTAGGGTATACTTTAAAATAACTAACAGAGTGGAACTGGACTATTCTTAACACATATGGTAAATGCTTGAGGTGGTGGATACCCCAATTACCCCAATTTGATTTATTTACATTGTATGCCTGTATCAAAACATCATATGTACCCTATAAAGATAATACAACTATTATGTACCCATAATAATTAGAAATAAAAATTTTAAAATGGGAGTTAATGTAGCCCATGAGGAAATTGGCATCTATTAATTTAGGAAATGGAAATTAATGATTTTATGTTGCTTTAATGATCAGATGTTTATCTTGATATTGCCTCTTTTACCAGGTACAGCATCCTGCTGCAAAAATGATTGTAATGGCCTCTCACATGCAAGAGCAAGAGGTTGGAGATGGCACAAACTTTGTTCTGGTGTTTGCTGGAGCTCTTCTGGAATTAGCTGAAGAACTTCTGAGAATTGGCCTGTCAGTTTCAGAGGTGACTGAGTGTTCATTTTATAATATACTTGTACTTTATTTTTGCCTGTATATATAGCTACTGCTTAAAACTTAAACTAAAATCATCGTTTTAATAGTAGCTAACATTTATTGAGCAGTGTACTCTGAACCACACATTGTAGTACATATTCTTCACATGCAGTGTCTCATTTTATTCTCACAAAAACCCTGTTAGGCCTAAAGTGAGACTAAGATTAGGAAACTTTTACCCAAGACCTCATAGCTAGTAAGTTAGGTAGAGTTAGGATTCAAATTTGGGCTGTCATCAAAGCCTACACTCATAGCTAGTAGACTCTGCTATGTGTGCAATTATGTAAGTAGTTTATTCTTTGTTATTTTATATTGAAAATATCCATATGCATTGGGTTACCAAAATGACTGCTTTAATCCATGTCGGAATTAGAGAAATATTTTTGTTATTTGTATTTTAGGTCATAGAAGGTTATGAAATAGCCTGCAGAAAAGCCCATGAGATTCTTCCTAATTTAGTATGTTGTTCTGCAAAAAACCTTCGAGATGTTGATGAAGTATCATCTCTACTTCAGACCTCCATAATGAGTAAACAGTATGGTAACGAAACATTTCTGGCCAGGCTTATTGCTCAGGCATGTGGTAAGTAAATACCAGCAAATGAAAAGGTCCAAAATAAAAATGTCTTTAAGGTGACTAGATGTTTTCTCTGTTATCCCAAGATGTCTTTTGATACATCTCATTTTCTCAACAGTATCTATTTTTCCTGATTCCGGCCATTTCAATGTTGATAACATCAGAGTTTGTAAAATTCTGGTAAGTTTAGAAAAATACGTTAACTACGTTAGCTATCTAAGTCAATTATTTTTGCAAAAAAAAAATTGCGTTAATCTAAACCTAAATTTTATCTCATAATTTGGACACTTAAGACTTCTTTTGAGGCATCATTTTATAACATTTTAATATTGCTAAGTTGTTACTACTACTTATTTAAATTTAAAAGGGTATTGACATATTTCCTTGTAAAGTCATCATTTTTTATGACATCTTGTGAGTTGAGAATAGGGTATAAACCATATTTTTGCATTCTTCATATATGTTGAATTACAATAAACTTAGTATGTAATTTTGAGTAGAATGGAGATTGTTCTATTCTCCAATAATAAAATTCATATTTTAATGTTAGTATTGAAATAGTCAAGTATATTTTTGATAATGATGTGCTTGATATATTAAAACCTGTAATTGGACTGGTTTTGGTTTTGCACATTGGTGTACTGATTCTTAACATGAATTTAGCTTACATAGGTACATGTGCTCTTTATATATGTATTTATATGTGCATTATATGTTTTCTGTCTCCCTTCATTACTGTCCACCTTCTCCATTAAATTGTAAGCTTGTGAGAGCAGAATCTTTGCTGCTTTTTTCTCTCTTCTGTGTCCAGTACTGACAGCTACACCTGGTACATCAGCACCAAGTACTTAGTGAATGAGTGAGTGAATGGCTAAAAGCAGTTCTCTACCTTTGGTTGTTCCTGGTAAACTGAAGGACGTCTTCTCCATAACAGTGGCTTATTCCCACAAGGGTTCCTACCTTAAGCAGAGTGCTGTGCTTTATGCCTTCCACCTCACCCCTTATCCTAGTAGTCACCACCTCGGTATATTACTTTACCTTAGAAAAGGATATTTTTGGTACGTGCAGAATCAACTTAGCTTTATGTTACTTTCATGAGGTCACTGATGGTTTGTGTATCCCCTCCTTAGGGCTCTGGTATCCATTCATCTTCAGTATTGCATGGCATGGTGTTTAAGAAGGAAACTGAAGGTGATGTAACCTCTGTCAAAGATGCAAAAATAGCAGTGTACTCCTGCCCTTTTGATGGCACAATAACAGAAACTAAGGTATGTAGACGTCAAACCTTAAAAGCCAAAATTTGGGTTGCTTTTTCAGATTAATGTTTGAGGTTGAGTTTGCTCTTACCTATTTTTATACCAGATTTATATTATTTGAATATCTAATTCAACTACTAAATGTTAAACTTGAAATATTAGATGGTGGTGGTATTTATTTATATTCTAGCACAAAGCCCTTGACAGCTTACATATTCAGCAAGTGAGAGAGTACTTTGTGTGCTCTTCACAAAAATTTTTTTTAAATGCTTACATTCTGTAGCATCCTGAAACAAGATATGCTAATGTGATTTGGAAATGATAAGTATGTTTTTAAAAAATACATAGTAAAGAGTTTAAAGTTTCTGTTTATAGTCAGTAGTGGCTGACTTCATCTCTAGAATTCTTGAGATCCAAGTTCTTGATGGTTTTAAGTTTCACAGGATTGGGGGTTACTGGTAATTTAGTCTACGTTTTAGAAAAAGGTTGAGAACCACAACATAATTTTGGTGACCGTAGTTGACCTTTGTGAAAAGGCAAATACCAGGACATCTGCCTGACATATTTAAAATAAAAATATTTCTCCAACTTTTCCACCAAAGTACCTGTTAAAAGCAGTGTTTTGGGAGAGGGGTCTAGGAGCAAGCTGAGTGTCTTATTTCATACAGATTTTGTATTCTGCTTCATAATATATGCATATTTGTCCCCATATTTTTTGTCAGACCTTTAAATTATTTCTTTAGTAAACTATTATCCTATGACTTTGCTGAAGTAGTGCAGTGGTTTTAAAGAGTGCTTGTTTTGACAGGGAACGGTGTTGATAAAGACTGCTGAAGAACTGATGAATTTTAGTAAGGGAGAAGAAAATCTCATGGATGCACAAGTCAGAGCTATTGCTGATACTGGTGCAAATGTTGTAGTAACAGGTGGCAAAGTGGCAGACATGGCTCTTCATTATGCAAACAAATACAATATCATGTTGGTGAGGTAAGAGAGAGCTGCATTCTTTTTTTTTCCTTCACCTTTTGAACTGCATTCTATTACCCAATGTTATAAATGGTTTTTTGGTAGTAAAACACTAAACAAATTCAATAGACTACAAAGAGTGTTAATAAAAGGAAAATATAAGAATTAGATCAGATAGCAAGAGGATTTGGTGTAGGGGGACAAGAAACACCTGAGGAAACTTCAAACTGAGAGCTGAAGGATCAATGAACAGCTGTTTATTTGAGGAGGAAGAGGGAAAAGCACTCCAGGCAAAAGGAACAGCTTATTCAAGAGACCAGATGCAAGCCTAGCGCAGTGCATGTCAGCTAGAGTGTGGAGTCAGGAAGACGCCTTGTAATCCATCAGCATATTTGTGGGGCACATTAGACAACTTATCTATCCATTTCTGCCTACCACCATTCATAGCACTCAATGAAATGTACAGAGTGAGTTACTGTACTCTTACAGAACATTGATTGCATAAAGTAAAGCAAAAGTTTACTATATACTATTGAATTCTTTAAGGGTTTCTCTGGTGGTAAGAACTATAAACCCCTGGCATACTAAAGTGACATCAAATCTAGAATAGTACCATACAACGCAGACTTAAGTTGCAGCATTATTGGCTAGCTGGGCTTGCTCACAGCGTCAGGAATCAGCTTCCTGGCCTCAGTGCTTAGTGTAAGCCCTATGTGTTCTGAGCTTAAATCAGAGTCAGAAGAATGTGACTTGGGGGCTGGTGTAATTTCTTGTTTAATCTATATATGCTACCTGATAAAATAAAAACTTCTATAATGGCCTTTGGGTTTTTTTTTTAAAGGCTAAACTCAAAATGGGATCTCAGACGACTGTGCAAAACAGTTGGTGCTACAGCTCTTCCTAGATTGGTATGTATTTTGGAAGACATTAAAAGATAGTTGAAACTATTTGAATTTTTATTACAACCAGTCACTTTCTTACAGACTCCCCCCGTCCTCGAAGAAATGGGACATTGCGATAGTGTTTACCTCTCAGAAGTTGGAGATACTCAGGTGGTGGTTTTTAAGCATGGTATGTAGTAATGGTAAAAAAAAAAAAACATTTAATGTAAATGGGGGTGTTCATTTTATTTAATCCCCAAATTCATTTAATTTATTGACAGAAAAGGAAGATGGTGCCATTTCCACCATAGTACTTCGAGGCTCTACAGACAATCTGATGGATGACATAGAAAGGGCAGTAGATGACGGCGTTAATACTTTCAAAGTTCTCACAAGGGTCAGTACTAGCAACAATCTTCTTTAGTAATTTCTAAGGTTTTAAAAATATATTTGGCAGACTCCTGAACATTATGAGAACTCCAGAATGAATGGTTTGTTTAAAGCAAAGCACCTGTTTTTTACTTAAGACCTAAACATCCACTGCTATTACATACGATAGTTCCTAAAATGATTGTGCAGCGGAATAAATAGCAAAGCATGTTTTTTTTAATCGTCTTAAAGGGATCATTTATGGTTTTTCCCTGATTATAATGTACCTTAATTGCTAAATCACTGTTCTTAGTGCTGTTCCCATTCTTCACTTCGGTCCTTCACTTTTCATGTATCAGACACTGTATAGTAAGAAAATTTTCCCTGACCATTCATTTTTGCCAAATTTGTAATTCAGTTTTCAGTAACAATGGCTGATTAAAAACTCCAGTCTGGTGGAGTACCGGCATCTGGAAAGATTAGAAAATTGCAAACTGCTTTTTAGTGATTTTTTTTTTTTTTGGTCTACTTAAAGGATAAACGTCTTGTGCCCGGAGGTGGAGCAACAGAAATTGAATTAGCCAAACAGATCACATCATATGGAGAGGTAAAGCTTTTTCTGTATAAATTGGCTTTTTTCCCATTGCTTGAATAAAATGCAGTAATAAATGCATTTTTGTTTTAGACATGTCCTGGACTGGAACAGTATGCTATTAAGAAGTTTGCCGAGGCATTTGAAGTTATTCCCCGGGCACTGGCAGAAAACTCTGGAGTTAAGGCCAACGAAGTAATCTCTAAACTTTATGCTGTACATCAAGAAGGAAATAAAAACGTTGGATTAGATATTGAGGTATTTGAAAAAAACACTGAACTTAAATTGCTTTATTATGTGAACACACATCCTACAAATAGAAGCAGGAAGTTTGAAAGGAAAATCAATGATAGTGTTCTTATTTGTGAGCAAGTGCGTTTCTTAACAATTAGTTTTTACATAGTTTGTCAGACACAGGAAAATTTAGTTTTCCTTTTGTTTTATTGATATCCTTCTGTTTTATAGTATGTACAGTCAGCCCTACATATCTACAGGTTCCACATAACGCAGATTCAACCAACTGTAGATGAGAAAAATATATGGAAATTAAAAATAATACACATTGTAAAAATATAACGACTGCTTACGTTGTATTAGCTATTATAATTAATCTGGAGATGATTTAAAGTATATGAAAGGATGTACATAGGTTATATCTAAACACTACCATTTTGTACAAGGGACTTGAGCATCCACAGAATATGGTAATCCACAGGGGCCCTGGAACCAATCCTGCTCGGATATCAAGGGACTCTGTAGGATAGTACTTGTGCTTGGTTACTTTTCTTGTACTATTTCAGGAGCCATACAGGGTTTTTTAGTTACTGGGTTATAAACATTTTCACATAAAAGAATTAAAATGAAAGGATGAAAATTTTGTTTGACAGGCTGAAGTCCCTGCTGTAAAGGACATGTTGGAAGCTGGTATTCTTGATACGTACCTAGGAAAATACTGGGCTATCAAACTTGCTACTAATGCTGCAGTCACTGTACTTAGAGTGGATCAGGTGAGCAATAAGTAGAATTTTGATCTTTAAAAATGCTAGTTTTCATGGTTCAATAGCGTATTTTCACAGAACTAGAACATAGCGTAATTCCAGTTACATTGAAAGGATTATTTCTTAAGTCTTGCATCTTTACTTTAGAGATGTTAAAGTGCTCTCCCCAAACTTTATTTCTTCTTCTATTACAGTTTTAAATTGTATTAAATGTATTACAGCTAATGTGGCTGGGCACAGTGGCTCCTGCCTGTAATCCTAACATTTTGGGAGGCCCAAGAGGGAGGATCCCTTGAGCCCAGGAGTTAGAAACCACCCTGGGCAATATAGCGAGAACCCCTTCCCTACCCACCCACCTCCCCCCAAAATTTTTTTAATT